TGTTAAATGTTATAAAGGAATAATGCATCTTCTGTTCTTATATTTTAACCATAAGATGTTTGCATTTTTTTTACTGTCATGAAAAGATAAGCAACAGTGTTTTGGTATGACGGTGCAACAGTTTTTATAACTATTTTCCCTTTAGTCCGATCTAGCTAAACACTTTAAATATCATTGTTCAGTCTTAGTTGAGTTCACTAATAGAGCAATTTTTAGAAGAAATCTACTAAAAAAGGGAAGCAGTGTTTTTGTAGGGTGCACAGGACTAACTCTCTTAACTCTCTCCTTACTCAACATACCTCCATGATGGGAGACTTAAAGGCTGGAATACCTATAGATGTAGATTTTGCAGGTTTGTTTCTTCTTACACACCTTATTTTGATTTATAACCATTACAAAAACACTTAATTAATACCTGGATAGATTTTCACTTTAACAAAGAACAGAGATAACATGTACACATCACACATTAATTGTACAGTTTTTATCTATCGATAAAAAGCAAAACATTCTGTAGAAAGCAGATATATACATGATGTTTTTATCTTCTTTAATTTACATGTTGTATTTGTGTTCTTATTTCTAAAATAGAGCTAGGGTTAGAGTTATTTATATGTTTATAAAGTTACGGCTAGGAGTAGAGTTTAGGCCAAGTTTAGAGATAGGGTTATGGTTAGGAATAGGGTAGGTATACAGTTGTGCTAAAAGGTTTGCATACCCTGGCAGAAATTGTAAAATTTTGGCAATGATTTTGAAAATATGACTGCTCATGGAAAAAAATGAATTTTGTGGAAGGATAGTGATCATATGAAGCCATTTATTAGAACATGGTTGTTTCGCCTCTTTTTAAAAAAAATAATAATAATGATAACAGAAATCACTCAAATGACCCTGATCAAATGTTTACATACCCTTGAGTGTTTGGCCTTGTTACAGACACAAGGTGAAAAACACAGGTTAAAATGGCAATTAAAGGTTAATTTCCCACACCTATGGCTTTTTAAAATGCAATTAGTGTCTGTGTATAAATAGTCAATGAGTTGTTAGCTCACACGTGGATGCACTGAGCAAACTAGATACTGAGCCACCAGGAGCAGAAAAGAACTGTCAAAAGACCTGCGTAACAAGGTAATGAAACTTTATAAAGATGGAAAAAGATATAAAAAGATATCCAAAGCCTTGAAAATGCCAGTCAGTTCTTTTCAATCACTTATTAAGAAGCGGAAAATTTGAGGATCTCTTTATACCAAGCCAAGACCTGACCTTGGCTTGGTATCAAGAGATCCTCAAATTTTCCGCTTCTTAATACCAAGGAAGATTTCAGCCACAACTGCCAGAAGAATTGTTTGGGATACAAAGAAAAACCCACAGGTAACCTTAGAAGAAATACAGACTGCTATGGAAAAAGATGGTGTGGTTTGTTTCAAGGAGCACAATTTGATGATACTTTAACAAAAATGAGCTTCATGGTTGAGTTGTCAGAAAGAAGCCTTTACTGCACCAAAGCCACAAAAAAAGCCTGTTTACAACATGCATAAAAACACCTTGACTTGCCTTACAACGTCTGGCCTGGAGTGACGAGGCCAAAATAGAGCTTTATGGTCACAATCATAAGCGCTATGTTTGAAGAGGGGTCAACAAGGTTCCTTTAAGAGACTAGAGATGGTGGAAAAAATAAAGTATATATATATATATATATATATATATATATTATAGTAATATATCATTCCTATCAAGAAGACCAAGTGTTTGTGAAAAACTAGATTAGTTCTAATATAAATAAGCATCTCTAATATAATAGCAATGAGAGTTTTGTTTTTTATTGATCCTTTAACATACAGTATATGTTGTAGTAGAGGTTCTCTATACAAAGCAAGCATTGAAATTGTATTTCTAAAGTTTTCTTTATTGTATTTTTAGAAGTCAGGTATACATTATCACGAAAGGCAAAGCTAATTATTTTATGATTAGGCTTCCAAAAGATTCTTATGCAGAGAAAATCCATTTAAACAACCGGGGAAATGGTAGAAAACCCAATTTGTAAGGTTAATAAAACTGTTATAATTTTTGTACATCGAATAACTAGCATATCATTATTGTGAAGCAAGATGGTTGATCACTGATGGTTTTTTTGGGGGGGCAGGGGTGGGTGAGCTCTAAAGGCACGGGGAATCTTGTGAAAATGGATGGCAAGATGAATGCAGCATGTTATCAGAAAATACTGGCAGACAATTTGCATTTTTCTTATCTGACGTCACATTCTATGTTTCCAGGTTTAGCATTCAATGTATATTTGACACTTGGAGTAGAGCTATGTTTAGGGCTAAAGTTCTGGCAATGATTAGAGTTGAGGTTATTACTAGGGTTATTTCTTGGGCTGGGAGGAGATTTAGAGCTAGTGAGCTCTAAATAAAAAGGTTCACACAATGGAAACAAGACCCACAGCTGATACATAAACTAGGGGATAAAGCTAAATGGCACAACTAATTCAAAAATGTTATTAAACAAAAATTAAATCATAGGTGTGTGCATGGGGTGCTGGCTTCATCAAAAAAACTGGCAGAGAGATAAAAAGATCTCCCTGACTGGCCTTGTACTGTTTCTTTTTATTTTAGCAAGGCTTGATCTGATCGGGCCAGCACAACTGGCAGGGAGATAAATTCTCCCCGCCAGCTCCTTCCCTGGAAGCGCGAGGTGCAGCCACACATCTTTATGGTTCCGGCGTTCTGTCAGGGAGTCGGAGCACAGGCACCTGGTTTCTCAGTGTGTGTGCTGTGATGCCATCACTGAGCAACTGACTGGGGAGGATTGCAGCTGCATAAACAGCCCACTGGACCATCAGGGAGCGCATCAGCAGCCTGGAGGTCCACCAGTGCCAAATTATGTCACCTGATATTATTGCTCCCAGGAGGTAACAGGAGGGGGACAAATGTAATGAGAAAAAAAAAATATAAAACTAAAAGGCATCACAATGCAGAGAGACCGTGTTTAAGTCAGCTTCCTCAGGTACTGTCACTCCCCTTACACACACTGTCACATCCTTACTCACCCTGCCACTACCACTCACCCCCAAGCTTATAACCCTTACCATCCTGTCACAACCACTCCCCCTGTCTCACACTCACACCACCAACTTTGTCACACTAACCACCATGCCACACTAACCCTGTTACACCCACCACCTCTCACCCTGCCACACTCACTGCCTACATTCTGTCACACTAACCACCCCTCACCTCCAACTCTTACACTAGCCCTGCTAAAATTGTCACTGTCACCCCCTCACCCCACTCTTTTACACTCACCCTTTTAAAGTCACCCCCTGAAGATAGTCATCATCATGAAACATAGCCTTACCATAATAACAACACAGAAAGACCACAAGCAGGTCGCCTTACAAACCTTACAAGCAACAATCCCACACACATACACTCTCAGACACAAGCACACATATTTACATCCAAGGATGCTCAAGCACATACACAGGTGCACAATGCCAGAGACACACAGTCAGAATTGCACTTACGCACTCTCAGGCACACACACAGGTGCATTATATACCTTACACCCTCAGCCTCTCATACAGTTCTCAGCCTCCTCCACATACAACACTCAGCCACTACACACACTCTTATACACATACACACGGGTCACTGAAACAGAGCCTAGGGCTCTAGAAGAAGGCCTCAACCTGATCCTTGCCTATGTCTCAGGGCAATGTTAATACAGCACTGATTATTGTGCATCCCCTACTACACCACCAGTGGTAGGCAGCAATGTTTTTAATTAAATTTGTGCTAATATGTATTAAAACAATACACAGAGCTCCACAGTTCTAAAACACTTTTTATGTGGATCTCCTCCTATTGCGCCCACCATGTCACAAATTCCTCTCTGCTTTTCCTTTCACCATGTCCTCCCATTATTCTCACCCAACCACCCTCCCTCACCCACATGACTCCCACCCATCACTTCTTCACTTCCACCTATTCCTTCCTGATTTCCCATCACTGCATCTCTTCCCATACTTCTATCATTCCCACTACACCTCAGTCTTTCAAACCCCAGTATCACTCCCTCTCCCAGCATCTTCCAATCACTCCCATATATCCATTGTTCTCCCTATATTGCTCCCATCCATACCATTCCTTACCTATGCTTCTGTCACCTCCACCCATGCCTTCCCACATTACTTCCAACTGCTTTCTTTTTATAAAGAACCATTTTCTCTTTACTGCACTGCTGTGCACATCACACACAGCTACCCCACATATTACATACAGCCAAAACACACAAATCACTCACAGCCACATCACTCACAGTCAGCTGCAACACTTACCGACAACCTGCACCTACACAAAACACAGCTCACCCCCAACACATACAGAGTTTTATATACAATTAAAAAACAGCAGGAATAATAGGAGCTGTCCGATTTATGATGGACTGTTCCTATTTTGTGGTCCTGACGTACAATCACCTGTTGGGCTGATGCCTGGTGGGATAGATGAGGTGTCCAGTGTCAGGCTCTGTCCCCCTCAGGCCCCTACCCCTCACCATCTGTGCCGGTAGAGGTATGGTTAAATCCTAGCCAGTTTTGTGAATGAAAAGTCACTGATTGGCTGAAGCTTGGATGTCGCCTGGGGGGATTTGAGATCAGCACTGGGAGTTAAAATGTCTGAGAAAGGCTAACCCCTCAAGGGAAGAGTGTGCCTGAGAATCCTCTAGCACCATAACAATTTAATTTAGATTAAGTTATGGTGCCTGGAGCGTTCCTTTAAGACCACACAGCAATAGTCCTTAAGTATATATAGTATATAAGTATATATAGTTATCAAAGATTGGTCACGGACATAAAAGTAACCTGCATGGGGGGCGGGGCCTGACCGCCGGCCGGATCAGACATGCTTTGTCGGAACTCCTGCTTCTGAGCTGGAAAATCGGAGCTAACTGCAGGCCAAAAGTAGACACCGACCTGAAATTACAGCATTACCCAGGCGATGGTGATCCAGGTGATAGCCAACAGGACCCCCACTGGCACCAAAGTAACCCGATCGAGGCCTGAGGCCTACAAGCTTGAGCTCGGGTGTGAAGGCCGCTCTCCCGGTTCTCCAACCGGCGCTCTGCCACCCCCCCCCCCGGACCGGGCGACCACCACTGCATACCGCAACACCTCCACTCCGGTCCTGCCGAGCATTGATCTCCGTGCGGTGTACCCCAAGATGGCCGACCAACATCTATCCAGTGCACGACACGACATGGACACCGAGCAGCGCAGAAGTGAGCTTGGGTACTAGCTCATGGTGGAGACCTGCAGCGGCCCCCACAACAAGCCCTACGCACGCCTAACAACGTCCGCAACAACGGCGGAGGGGAGTATGGAGACAGAGGGAGAGTGGGGGAAGAGCGGGACTTCCCTGGGTGCTCTTTTTCAGACATCGATGCTGATGGGCCCACCTGGGCTGAAGACCACAGAGGAAGCAATCCCGGAGCACCAGCTGCCTACGCTGGGAATCCGACGCCGCAGATGGTTAACCACCAGGAACAACAGCAGTCCCCCACAGGGGAAGAACTAAGCCTCCCAAGTGAGCAACCTGGTTCACGGCCATGAGGTGCAGGCCTTCACACTACCCCGGGGCTATAGGGGAGACTTGCCATGACCCTGCCCCGCATCACCACACCACCCGCCACGCCAGAACCAAGGCATAAGCTAGACTGGGACTTTAAACCCTAAAAGCGCAAAAGATGGCAGGACTACCCACATGCTGGACTAAGCACTTTACCATGTAAGGCCAACCTATCTTGCCGCTCCTGCGCGGATAGCCGCATGGAGAACTCCCTACGAGGTAGTGACTTAAAGTACTGCCCATGCCTACACGATGCACTATAGATGACTATACGTCCGCACAAACATAGAAACTGGACAGACGGCAAACCGAAACAGGCTGAACAGGCTGGCCACACACGAGGCATACACCTAACATAGGTACACACCAGCCAGCTGACCACACACACACGAGTTGCACCCACTACCATGCTGACAAGGGGGACACTGGACCGGCCTGTACTCCACATTAGTCTAAGCAGAGACGGGGGGACCGCGGTCTTCTAGGCATATCACCTTACTAGGACAACACACTCCCACGCACCTAACACGCAATGCTTGGTACATGACATACACCAACTCAGTGGCCCGTCCGAGGACCCCTAACGTAATAACTGCAACTAACACACACTACTCAGAACAAGCATAGATATTTAATGACACAAGCCGGGTGATACCATTATGACTATCGACGTTAGTTATACTAATCCGGCTGGCGCCGTGTCGCAAATAGCATGTTCACTTCATTATGTATATATGGTGTTAAAAACACGGCAAACAAACCTTACTTCACTGTTTTTTCATTAGTTTACAAACCAGTTGATATCACCGTGACGCCTCAAGCTAGTTATACCAACTTAGCTTATACCGTATTGCCAATAGCTTGTTTACTTTATCGTTACCTTTTTCATTTAAAAATGTATGCATACCCAACATGCCACAATACAGTTATGTTATGACTATGAAAATCGAGCCTGCTAATGCGGTTGTGGCGATACAGGCACTGCATACCAAAAAAAAAAAAGAATAAAAAAAAAAAGTAACTTGCACGTGTCCATTTCACTACACTTATATCAATACTAACAGTTGTTCATTAAAATGAGAATTCAAGGTGAATTCAAAGTAAGTTTTAAATATAAGGTCAAAATAGCCAAATTGGAAAAATTCTCTAAATCAGCTATGCTTTCCATTCACCTGCTCTGGTCTTAAATTTGAAATTCACTTTGAACTTACTTTGAATTCTCACTTTAGTAAATAACCCTCTTAAACTCAAACCTAGCCCAAGATTATAGAAAAGTGATGTAGTCTGGTGAAACTGGGGCATAATTTAGGCTTACATACAGGGTTATTTAATTCATCTTTAATTCTCACTTTAGAGGAAAACGCTAATAGACTGATGCAGTGTTATAAGTTACAAGCTTTCTTTCATGTTTGTCCACATAATTTCTAAGTTTATGGAGTTTATTTACTAACCCAAGGCAGAGATGGAATTCAAAGGAATTGAAATTTAGAAGCCAGAATATAGCTGGGGAAGTGATGTACTGGAGAATGTTTTGGTTCTGGTTGTATTGCCCTAAACTTTTAATCATATGAACAATGTTTGGCTTAGTGAATTAACACGTACATGTAATATGTCTCCAACCTACTAAGTGTTGGGTACAGCAGTGGTATGAACAGTGGCACACACTATACCTATACCTTTTTATTAAAATTCTCTATATTTAAGTTTATACTTGCATGGTGATGGAACATTCAGACCTTAACTGAAATGAAACTAGTTTAAGGATACTGAAAGCTGCATAAGTATCTCAATGATGTATGCCTTCTAGCTACAATCAGAGAAACAGGTAGTCTCTCCATCTTCAAACCATTTGCATAATAGTATTCAGAAATGACAGGCCCTTACATCAGAGCACCAGAGATACAGCACCCTGCAGTTTTATATTATACCGTCCTACTTTGTATCAAACCACTAATAGAGTATTCACCCATAATGCATGGAATATTATAAATAGAGAATAGCATTTTTTCTTTTAATAGCTCTTCCAGATGATGTAGTGAAGACATTAAGCAGTGATATAGTTGCAGATAGGGAACTTTATTTACACTATTAAAATGTTCACACTTTCAAAATGTTATTTCTACAGCATCACGTTGAAACAATCCTCCCCAAGATCAACCTGCAAGTCAATGCCATGCAGATTCTAAAGTTTAAACTAATTAGACATCTATATATTTAGATTTGCATTAGTTGGGATAATGTTATAGGTACACTCAAAACACATAGGGCACTTTAGCTTGTTGAAATGCTACACGTGTGAAAAGTTTCCTCTATTTCCATTTTATAAAAGTGACAAATTTAATAGAAATCAACACTTTTACAAATAATCCTTGTTACACCTTTCTGTCTGTCAATCAGACAGCTGGTCCTATTACTTCCTGTTAATTTAGCTATTGTAGAGCAGTCAGTGATTGGTTAGCCACAGAAATGTATTGATGGGGAAGGAATAAAGGTGCTTGCAGTACCTCAAGACACTAGATCTGAAGCAATTGCAAGTCAAGAGTTTAAAAACATGCAAAACAAATAACATGCATATTTTCTTTGGGGTAAACCTCATATTTTTTTTTATGTATTTATTTTTGTTTGAATGGGGGTTCCTATAAAGGACCACTATAAGGCCATGAAAACAAACTCCCTCTCCCCCACCTTCTGGGTCCCCCTCCCACCGGGCTGAAGGGGAAGGGGTTAAATTCTTACCTTTCTCCAGTGCCGGGTTCCCTCAGTGCTGGGGACTCTCCTCCCTCTTCCGACGTCATCTGCCGAATGTGCATGTGCACAGTCCATAGGTAAACATTTCTCACTGTGAAAATCACAGTGAGAAGCATGGAAGCGCCTCTAGTGGCTGTCAATGAGACAGCCACTAGAGGCTGAATTAACCCTAATGTTAACATAGCAGTTTCTCTGAAACTGCTATGTTTACAGCTGCAGGGTTAGCTCTAGATGGACCTGGCACCCAGACCACTTCATTGAGCTGAAGTGGTCTGGGTGCCTATAGTGGTCCCTTAATGATTAAAGACCATAACCAATAATCTAAGACAAAAACATAATTTCAGTTAAAAAATACCTCTCACTAAGCCAGTTACGTGAGTGAAATGGTATATCCCTGTGATTATAGTTTTAACATTAAATTTGAGAAAATTAAAAATATATTTATATGTTTATTATAATTATCACATAGGCTTTTCTGATGTAAAAAGGTAGCAAAAAAGTCAGAAATTGAATTTTTTGGTAGCAATATGCTAAAAGGGAACATACAGCAGGTTGCAAAATGTAATATGTCTTCAGACCTGGAATGAAAGGTTAGATAGCAAAGGAATTCATATTTTGCTGTAATTGTCAACATGAAGCTATTTCCTATATAAAAGAAGCAAAATGACCCAACAAGGCCTAGGGCTGAATTACATTTTTTTTTCAGTTGTAGGAATACATTTCTGCCAAAGAAACAAGATTATGTATTAAGATGGATTGCCAACATCTCTTGTGTATAAGACTTGTATCACTATGATTTACAGTCAGGGGAAACATGCATTAGTGAAACATATAGTTAGCTTTATTTTAGTAAAAGATAGACAGATAAACAAACAATGTAGATAGTTATATAAACAGACAGACAGAGTAAATAGGTGGATGTACAGCCAGAAGACAGAAGGGTAGCTAGAGACAGATGATAAATGGATGAACAGACAAATAGAGTAGTCAAATGTATAGACAGGCAGGATTGATAGATGATTGTCCGACAGACAGATGCAAAATCATGAGATATTACAGTTTCTTTTAGTATCTGTTTTATTGAACTTACAGATTTATGGGCACATAGATAGATTTTCATTTAGACAACTAGACAATGATATACATCAAGAAAGTCATAGTCTACAACTTCCCCAATCACTCTCAGGCCCATTCACATGCTCTTAGTGCAACAAGGTAGCTAGTTTTTTTGTAGCTGGCACAGATACACTGGCCATGTCCATCTATTATACTTGTACCAAGAGGGAATTGCCCCAGTGACATCTTCTGCTACTTACCTCTGCTGACTATAAATTAGGTTTATTCTAGACATAAGATAATGAAGGGATTTAGAAAATTGGGCAGACTAGATGGGCCAAGCAGTTCTTATCTGCAGTCACATTTTATAAATACCTTTTGATGAATGCAATCAATAACATTATTTTTTAACAGACTTTTATGAATGTGCATTTTTCATAACTCTGCTTCTCCAACAGCAAAACTGCTAGATAGATAGATAGATAGATAGATATACAGACTACAGACAAGCAAGGAAGCAGGCTGACAGGTGCAGAGGTTTATTGATATACAATGAATTGTCGAGAATTTATTCAGCAAATGAATAGCTGTGCCTGTGCTTGTGATTTGTTCTGGTTCATCAACCATTCTCATAGACTTCTCATTTCCCTTGTCAATGAATAACAATTCAGGTTTTGTGAATAAACCTGTTTGGGCTCCAGAAATCATCAAAGTAGAATGCTATGGTACACACACTTTGACATACTCACTGCCATGACTAGGGATCATGTTGCAACACCTAGTTTTCTAAAAAATGATAAGAAAAGAGTAAACAGCACTACAAAACATTGCTGATTTTATCACAGTAGATACAGAAAATGCTCTCC